AAGACAGCCCCTGAAAATAAGACCTAATGCATCTTTGGGAGCAAAAATTAATACAAGACACTGTCTCATTTTCGGCGAGCCAGGGTAGTAGTAAGTTGTGTTCTAGTCAGTTCGAACTTGTGGTCACCCCATGGAAAAAGAACAAAATGTTTCCCAGTCTTATGCGATCTTCAAGTTCATTGGTATGCTGTAGTCCATTGTTGTAGTCTCTGTGTTTTGAGTGTCTTCCTGTTTACTGCCATCAAATTGATCTCAACTCATGACACTGTTAGCTTCCTTTGTTGTTGTTGTTGTTGTTGTTGTTGTTGTTGTTGTTGTTAGGTGACGTGGAGTCACTTCCTACTCATAGCAGCCTTATGCACAACAGAACAAGACACTGCCTGCTTCTGTGCCAGCCTCACAGTGGTCCTTATGTTTGAGCTCATTAATGTCCATCTGTCTTGTCCAAGGCCTCCCCTTTTTCCTATGCTGCTTTCCCAAGAATGACGTCCTTTTCCATGGACTGGTCTCTCCTGACATATCCCGAATTCACGAGAGGAAGTCGCACCATCCTGGTCTGTAAGCATCATGCTGGCTATACTTCTTCTAAGAGAGATTTGTGGGGCTTCTGGCAGTTCTTGATATTTTCAACATTTTTGCCAGCCCTACAATTTAAATGCATTGATTCTTAGCCAGTCTTTCTCTTCAATGTCCAACTTTCACTTGCATATGAGGTGATTGAAAATACCATGGCTTGGATCAGGCACACACACCTTAGTCCTCAAAGTGACATTCTTGCTTTTCAACATCCTAAAGAGGTCTTGTGCAGCAGATTTACCCGCGGCAATATGCCGTTTGATCTCTTAACCGTTACTTCCATAAACATTGATTGTGGATCCAAGCAAGATGAAATCCTTGAAAAAATCCATCTTTTTTTCTGTTGACTCTGATGTTACCGATTGGTCCAGTTGTGAGGATTTGGCTTTCTATACATTAAAGTTTTACGTAGGCATCTGCTAGTCTTACCTGTGATCATTTTTTCCTCCCTTCTGCCCCTCACAAGCACATAACACGAGGAACAGCAGGGTCTGTCAGCCTACGGGTTCCAAACTCCATGCCAACTGTACTTAGAATTACCACTAGCCCCTCCCTCATCTTTTCTGTCTGCACTTTGCTCCAGGTCTTCCCTAACCCCACCGCTCCTCACATGCAATCACTTTCCTTAGCTACTTCATCCTTTGGGTTCAAAGAATTCCTTATTGAGAACTCCTCTGGAGAGAGCTCCCGATAGCTCACCTCTTTTGTTATTTCTATGTCCCAGAATTCTCATTGAAAGGGGATGATAGAAACTGACTGCCATAGAGTTCATGTGGAAGCATTGCTAACCTGTAGGATAGGGTAGAACTGCCCCCTGGGAGTCTCAGAGACTGGAAGTAGAAAACCCTGTCTTTCTCCTGAGGAGTGGCTTGTTGTTAGGAACTACAGACCTTTTAGGATTACTCCTCAGTGTGTAACCACTATGGCACCAAGGATGATAGAAGTATCTAATAATAGAAGTAGAACAGATGTCTAAGATTGATTGTGGGCACATCGTCTAACATCTGGAACAAAAACAAAAATATTTGCCCTTTGGATTTCCTTATGGCAATAGTTATTACATTCCACCCTAACAGTGAGCTTCCTGGGGTTGGGATTAGGCCCCAGAACTTAGTATGGTACAAAAGTTTGGTAAATGTTGTGGAATGAATGCATGAGTGAATGGACTTTCAAGATTTGTTTATAAGCATTTTAAAAGAAATGAATAAATGATTCAGGAATTAGCAGGAATTCATTGCATTTTGATTGACGATGCTGGAGAAAACCCAGATTTCTGACTTCCAACAGGAATCTTTAACCCTTTCTTACAGGTAATATTGGGCTATACACAACTGCTAACCATAGAGTCAATGGTTCAAATCTACCAGTCACAGGCTGCTTGCTCCTGTAAAGATTTAAAGTCTCAATGTGAGGGGGGTCAGGATGGAGACCCGAAGCCCATCTGTAGACAATTGGCCATCACCTCGCAGAAGGGTCACAAGGAAGGGACAATTCAGCCAGGGTGCAGTATAGCAATGACGAGACACACAACATTCCTCTAGTTCTTTAATGCTTCCTCAACCCCACTATCATGACCCCGGTTCTACCTTACAAATCTGGCCAGACCAGAGCATGTACACTGGTACAGGTAAGAGCTCTCGACACATGGAATCCAGGACAGATAAACCCCTCAGGATCAATAATGACAGTAGCAATACCATGAGGATAGGGGGAATGAGAAAGGAGGGAATCAATCACAGTGATCGACGTACAACACCCTACCCCCAGGGGGATGGGTAACAGAAACATGGGCAAAGGGAGACAGTGGGCATTGTAAAATATGAACATTTTATAATTCATAAATTATCAAGGGTTCACGGAAATGAGAGGGTGGGGGCAGGAAGAGGGGAAAGAGGAGTTGATACCAAGGACTCAAGTAAAAAGAAAATGTCTTGAAAATGATGATGGCAACATATGTACAAATGTGCTTGACACAATGGATGTATGGAATGTTATAAGAGTGGTCAGAGCCCCCAATAAAATGATTTGTTAAAATAAAAATAAATAAGAAGTATCTTTATAATAACCAGGAAAAAAGGATTTAGAGTCTCAGAAACCCATAGTAGCAATTTTACCCTATCCTATGAGATGGATTAAAATTAATGGTGGTGAATTTGAATTTGGTGAATGCCTATTATAGCATTTGATACCACTGATTCTTAAAAACTTGGTCCAATGGAAATCAATGTGTTGGTGGCTTAGTCTCAAACATCGTTTTTCTCACCTATTTTTTTATCTCACTGTTAGTTAAGTATTATTTGTAAGTAATCACCTAATTCACTGTGTGACCAGAGCTTAATCTCCTAACCTTATCGGCATTAGGTGTTTCAGGCTCTTGACTTCTAAGCTTCTTCATAGCCTCTGACAGAGGTAGTTCAGTGATTTATGGTAATCTCAGATCTGGTTATCTCCCCAGGAAATCAGTGACCCGGAGATCCTGGATTTGGTCCACAGTGCCCTCGGCAGAATGACTGTGGTTCGGCAAGTCTTCCCATCTGCCAAGGACAACCAGAAATGCATGCGGAACAACCACCGCATTTCCTCTCTGCTCTGTGACCCTCAGGAAGGCTACCTACAGATGCTGCAGGTCAGTGTGCCAACCTGGCTTTCACACTGTCGGCCACAGGTGACATGCCCATTACTTGGCTCCTGCTGCACCCTGTGGCCACCAACTTGAATGGCTTGAATTCTACCATTCGTGGAAATGGAAACTAGCTGACTAGTCAGTGAGTTTGAGTAGCGCTAATAGGCAATTATCCTTGGCATTAGCAGATAGGTTATATGAGCTCAGCAGGTGCCACTTGTATTTAACAGTTATATGGTTAGGGGGTTAAAGATATTCCTCTCTCTTTGCTTCTGTTATAATTGCTTGGTGAAGAAAGGGTTCATTTGGCAAGGCAGGAGTGAAGCATTCCTTTGAAAAGTCACCGTATTTTAACTTTCTTTGGGTTCTTCTCTGTAGGAAGTCATTAATAGAAAAGGCCATTGAGAAACAACTAGAGCGCATCGCAGCACACATGCTGAATGGTAGATCAACTGGGACACCACTAGACTCACAGTTAAGGTAGGAGGGATAGAAGTACAGGTTAGCGAAAATTCCCACCAGGTTCATTCCTTGCAAGGTGAGAGTAGGAAGCTGTTTACGGTTCATTCCTTCTACCGATCCTCCATATATGTAGTTAGACACTGGAATCGGATGTAAAGTTATGTCCCTTTTGTGAAGTTCTTTTCGGACACTTGGGAGCAAGTATCGAGCATTGCAGAGACTTTAACAGTTACCATTCAATTAGTTCCAAGTCATGGTGACATCATGCGTGTGCCAGCAGAGCTATCATCTACAGGGATTTCAAAAGCCGATTTTCCACAATTAGTTCCCCGGAGTTTTCTTCAAAGGCGCCTCCAGGTTGACTTGAAACTCGTGTTGTTGTAATTGCCCACACCCCTCATGGAAGAGATTTATTCCATTGTATGCCTCGTGGGAGCACCATAAAACCCAAACTAAATCAGATTCACTGCCATTGAGTCCACTCCAACTAACAGTGACCCAATAGCAGGGTCCTCAAACTTTTTAAACAGGGGGCCAGTTCACTGTCCCTCAGACCGTTGGAGGACCGGGCTATAGTTTAAAAAACAAACAAACTATAAACAAATTCCTATGCACACTGCACATAGCTTATTTTGAAGTAAAAAAACAAACAGGGCAAAAACACCCAGCAGGCCGGATAAATGTCCTCGGTGGGCCGCATGTGGCCAGTGGGCCGTAGTTTGAGGACGCCTGCTCATTAGGACTGAATAGAATTGCCCCCCTAGGTTTCAGAAAGTGTAAATCTTTATGGGAGTAGAAAACCTCATATTCTGTGGAGTGGCTGGTGGTTTTTAACTGCTGTTTTTCAGTTAGCAGCCCAATACATAAAACACAATACAACAGAAAAGACCCCATAGAATAGAGTAAAATTGTCCCATTGTGTTTCTGAGACTTTATATCTTTTTTTAAACTTTCTTATAAATCATTTTATTGGGGGCTCTTACAGCTATTATAACAATCCATACATCAATTGTCTCAAACACATTTGTACATATGTTGCTATCATCATTTCCAAAACATTTTCTTTCTACTTGAGCCCTTGTTATCAGCATCTCTTTTCCCCAACTCTCTCCCCCACCCTCTCACTACCATGAACCCTTGATAATTTATAACTTATGGTTATTTTAATGTCTTACACCATCCACTGTCTCCCTTTACCAGTGTGTCTGTTGATCGTCCACATTGGGGACACAGTTATACATCTATTATTGCAGCCGGTTCCCACTTTCTTCCCCTTCTTCCCGCACCATCTCTCCAACCTCATGGTATCACTACTCTAATTACTGTTCCTGAGGGGTTTATCTGTCCTGGAGTCCTTGTGTCAAGAGTTCTTATCTGTACCAGTATAAATGCTCCGGTTTAGCTAGATTTGCAAGGTAGAAATCGGGGGTCATGGTTGTGGGGGTGAGGAAGCATTAAGAAACCAGAGGTATCGCCACTCTCACCACTGGTCTTGAAGGGATCATGTGTCCTGGATTCCCTGTGTTTCCAGTTCCTATTTGTACCAGTGTACATCCTCTGGTCTAGCCAGATTTATAAGGTAGAATTGGGATCATGATGGGAGTGGGGTGGGGGGAGGAAGCATTTAAGAATTAGCGGAAAGTTGTATGTTTCATTGTTACTACATCACACCCTGACTGGCTCATCTCCTCCCCAG